CCCCAAAACCCCAAAACCCCAAAACCCCAAAACCCCAAAACCCCTTATGGCTGTTTTTTAATTGAGATGAACAAATTCCAACAGAAATTATTAGGTCATAAAATATCTTTATCGCCTAATGTAAGAGCAATTTCCTTCTTTTTATGAATTCCTTCTTTGAAAATTAAGGGATGAGAAGTTGTGTCTAAAACTCGAAGAAATATTTTGTCTCGTCGTTTAAGTCGGTACAGAGCTGAGTTAAGCTCAGTGGACCCTGGCATAGATCAGACCGTTGCTCTCAGATGAGGGATGAGCCGAGAGTTTGACTAAAACAGAAATCTCTCCCTCAATTTCACCTATTTTCTTCAAAACAGCCACTAAAAATATTATCGATTGATTGCTCGGCACATTCCGGTTTTTCAGATGTTGTGGAGTCTGGATTTTCGAATATGAAACGTTGTTCTGAGATTTCAGATATTTTTGCTTGAGGAGTAGATATCTCCACATCCGACTCGCCAAGTTCACTGCTACTTTCTCCAAGAATCTTATCGACCTCAGTGTTGAAGTCTTTCGGTCAACTCTGCTTGCTAAAAAGTAAGCAATCTGGGTCTCAAAATCCATTCTCGAATGATCCGACTGTATTATATAATTTCTGACGAGAATCCTTCTTTCCTTCGTTATGAGAGACGGAAGCATTTTGGGCCAAGTTTTTAACCTGAGGGGAACTGTCGAATGCCTTCTTCCGATCGAAACCCCATTTGTATATCTGGTGTGTCTTCAGATTAAGAGCCTTCTTGCAGTATTGAACAGTGGGCCTACTCCAAGTAGGATCTCTCAGGAATTGCTTTTCGAGAAATTTTATTTCAGAGCTTGTTTTGACTCGTAAAACTCTGGAGCATTTTGGTCTTCTACTTTCTCGAGATGGAATTAAATTCAGCAATTCGTTTATGTCCTCTTCAAGATCTTTCTTCATTGCCTTAGCTTGCTTGGTTCTACAGATCTGTGTCAGGAGACAAAGTAGTAATATAAAAAGAATGAATTTGAACTTGCGACAGTTGATGAAAAGCCGAGTTTGTACTAATAATTATTTCTCAGAAAACTACTCAAGTGCATATAGGACATATTTTACCATCCGAGACTTACCTAGTGCACTTCTTACTACTATTGTTCTTCATGGTCAAATAAGTGGGTAATTTTATGAAATATTATAGCCATGACTTCTCGTTCAGTCCAAATACTGTTACTAGGGGTTTTGGGGTTTTGGGGTTTTGGGGTTTTGGGG